TGCTATGGTTTTATCAGTGGACTCTATAGCATCTTATGTTTCCACCTTCCTTATATTTCCCTGAAGTGGAAGCCCTAATTGTAACTTAAAACCCCATTATACTTTACTGGTGTTATTTTTATAACTTCCAATCTTCCTACCTCCAATATCTTTCCTATTCTAACAACCAATATATGACATCTAGAATAATCATCTTAAATGACAATTCTAATCGTTTCGCTTGTGCCTAAAATCTTCAGTGATTCTATTATCTTCAGAATAATTTCCAAATTCCCTCAAGAGTGTATTAAATGCCCCTTATGATCTGACCTCAATCTATCTTCTCCCTTGATTCCCAAATACCTTGAGCTTCTAGCCGTCCTGAAAATCTGTCTGATGTTTCCGCAACTTTGTGCCTTTGCCATCTGTGCTGCCTTCACCTTTTCTTACTGAAATCCTTCTTTCTTTAAAGCATAAAATGCTGTCTTTCCTCTCTCCAACTAGCAATAAATTCTTCTTATATTCCCCAATAGAATACGAGTGTGCAGTGACTGAGAACAGACCTTTTTAATCTTCTATCCCCCGCTGGGCCTAGCATACTCCCTTGCATGCAGCAGGAACAGAGTAAACATTAAATTGAATTGACGTATTAGCACTCTTTCTGATGAGTTTATAATGTGCCAAGTAATTTAGATAAATGTGATTATGTGATAAATTTGATCTTAAAAGCAGATATGTGAAATTCATACTTTTTTATATGAGCTGTTTACAGGACCAAAATCTCTACTTCACTCTGAATGCACCTTTATAGAACTTAATTTAAAACAGTAATAAATTTAAAAATTCCTCAAATTTTTGAACAGTTATTCCGGTTTACTCACTTTTTACACTTTCCATTTCTTGGAGACCCAGTAAAGAGCAGTCCTTATGAATACATTTTAATGCTGAAATATAATCAAAAAATTTGCGTACCAGTTTCTCTATCAACCAAAACAAACAGTGAGCTATTTAAACATTAGATTGATTTTCCTGAATTGAAAGCTTTGCCTTATCTAAAATTTTATTCAAGTTAGCAAAATGTGACTATCTCTAAATTTCAAGTAAATTCCATCAAGCTAAAGTTTGCCTCTGCTCTCACGATAGGATTAAGTCCAGTAATATGAATGATAAATTGAGAAATGGAATGGTTACAGTAGATATAGACTCTGTAACAAAATCCTGACTCAAAAATTTCCCAAATAATTCCTTAAAAGTAAAAGGAAGAGTTTGACCACTATCCGAATAATTGTTTCCATTTATATTCTTATTTATGCCTAGCTAATACAACTCTTCAAAAAGTATTTTCCTAAGCAAAAGTTTCTAGTCTTTAATTCTCTAATAGCTGCTTTGCTTTTTCTGATATGATTAGAGAAATGACAGAAAACCAAGGACTGATAATGCCTTAAGGTTATGTCAGAACCATTTTTAAAATAATAATTAAAATGACATGAAGAGATAATTTTATTTTAAACTTTCTGCAAATCATTTTTGATTCATACATATCTAAAAAAAGTTATCTAGAATTATATATCTTTTCTGAGGATAAAAGTTCAAAACCACTTCTTTGTGTTCAATAATAATTGCTGCTAAATCCTAGGGTTCCACATCAGCAGATTCAACCAACTTCACATCAAAAATATTCAGAGAAACAAATGGATAGTTGTTTCTGTACAGAACATGTACAAATTTTTTTTAGCTTGTCATTATTTCCTAAATGGTACAGTATAACAACTATTTACATAGCATTTATGTTGTATTAGGGATTATAAGTAATTTAGAGATGATTTGAAGTATATGGGAGGATGTGCAGGGGTTACATGCAAATACTATGTCATTTTTTTATCAGGGACTTGGGCATCCCATATTTTGGTGTCCTCAGTGGGTCCTGGAACCAACCCCCCATGGTTACTAGTTGTCTTATTTCAATCTCACAACCACCTTACACAGTAAGCATTATTAAGCCCAGTTTAGAGCTGAGGAAAGTGATAATGAGCTTAAGTTACTGGCTTGAGATCATATAACCAGTAAATCAGGCCTCGTTGGAGTCAGTTCAGCCCTTTCTGAGGCCAGAACACCAGCACCGGGTGGCCCTTACAACACAGTCAACTGGTGTCTCAGTACTCCAAGGGCAAAAAAATGTTGAGGAAACATCCCCTAATGTCAATGTATAAGAAATGCTGTGGCCTATTATACTGATTTCTAGCTCTTTCTTTCTTTAATTTTTTTTTTCTTTTGCATTCTTTTTCTTCAGTTGCTGGCAATCTTTCTGCTGCATTTTCTGTGATGGTAGCCGGCTTCTTTGAAATACACAGAAAACACTTCCCTCCGGTGAAGCAGCTTCTTTTAGGCAAAGTTCTCACTGTTTCCTCCATGCCCTGTTTCTACCTGTTTCTTCAGTACGTTTTACTTGGAGTGGCTGAAACACTGGTCAACCCAGCCTGTGAGTAACTTATTTTTTTAAACTAATGTTAGAACATACATTCTTTAGACAGAACACGTCAACTCAACGAGAACAATTAAAGTAGTAGGTGATCTCGTCACCACCTGGAGATTTCCCCAATGCTTCAAGAAAGCCTATTCATCACTCTCATTTTTGAAAATGTTTCATTTCTCTTCGTTCCTCTACCACACGTAGAACAATAATTAATTCTACTTGGATGTAGATGGAATAAAAGATTTACTAACTGGTTAAAGGTAAGAACTATTTGGTAAAAAATAGTTCTTACCTTTAACCAGGAGGGTAAAAAACTGCTTAAACCTAGAAGACAACTCCGACATGCTCAGATGAAATCTCTCCTCTTCTCTCTTCCCTTTCCTCTTTCCATCTCCCTTCCAATCACTCACAGATAAACTCACATATAGACTCCCTGCAAAAATGACATTTAATGTGCCCTGAGAGTGTATAAACATGCAAATGAAATGAAAATTTCCACTAATTTTCCAGATAACTCAATGTCTTTAAATTAAATGACATTAGATTAAATGTAATCACTAGTGTTTCATAAGACAGGTTCAAAATAAGTTTATTAAATATCAAGGGCTTCTGAATTGTGTAGATTGCTTATATTAATTAAACTTGCCACTATAAAATGTATCACAATATTTAAGTAACTTCCTGCGATATAGTAGTGTGTGTATATCTATATTAATCAGTGTAATCTCTCACATCTTCTGTTTTTACCCTTCTTATATTTTCCTGTAGTGGGAACCTTGATTGTAACTCAATTATACTTTATTGATATACTTTATACTATTATACTTTA